GTATGTCTGTAACTTATGCACAACATATTTTGATGCTTTTTTGTATAAATGTTTACTTTTATGTTCTAACTTATTTTTGTTTTTTTGTACATTTTTCCGTCACCCTGTAATTGGCATAAGCTGTTTTGGTGATGTAATTATAAATAAATAAATAAATAAATAAATAATAAAATGATCTATCTTTAAACAAAAATAGTAAGCCTTACTTTTTAATGTGTAATTTTAAACAATATGCAAATGCAAATATGTTTAATCTTCCTTTAGAAAACTCAAAATATTTAAACCGGATACATATAATAAAAAACAATTCATTTTATAATTACGCAATTACCTTGGATCTTAGGTATAACAAGTAACGACAGTATTTGTAACAATTACTTAGCTGATACAATTTTTTACAATCAGAGCATTGAACTGTTGCAATTTTGTTGAAGTAATTTTGTTTTTTTACACAAAACTTGACTTGGAATATACATATAGTTGATGAAATAATCACTATTTAAAAAAATGGTCGTTTTTGAAGTTATTTGGTTAAAGATTTCAATTGTACCATTATTAACAAGTTTTCCTTTAAATAAATTTCCAGTAAAATTTATAAAATTGAGGAAAATTAATTATATTACATCTGAAGAAATAAAATTAAGATAACTGTGAAATATGAAAAAATGGAGACACAATGTGAAATACCTATTTAGGGTCCTATTTTATAAAAAATATATTTACTCACTGTTTATTATTTTTGTTAAAAGTAAAAGTCTTAATTTCTATATTAGATATATATTACAATAGGGTACATATACTCTGTACCTATACTTATAGGAATTTGTTTTGACCGATAAAACAAATATGTAAAAATGAATATTTTTATAATTTAAAATTTTACCGTATGCTCGTATTTTTTTGTATTCAACATTTATTTATATCTGATTTCTGTACATATTTTGAGTTTATAGTTATTCCACTTTTTATGTAGTAATTACCTGCTTTTGTAAGTAATTAAATTATTTATGTTTGTTGAGTAATTTGCATTTTATCAACCATTTTAATACACATAGCTTTGCCTTCGCTCCGTCAACTTAACTGCCAAAATTACAAAATATATGGCAAACGTATTAACCTTTTAATAGCTTTTAAATAACACTTAATCTAGCAATTATGTGTCACAGAATATGGTAAAGGTTTAAAATATTAAAGAAAAAACGGAAAGCGACATGACAACGTTACATTTTTTGGTGGATAGTTTGCGAATAAGAAGAACTATAGACAGTGTCAGTATTACTATATAGAGTGAACGATGTTTGATTTTCATAGATACTCCGGCTATAAAAAGAGTTTGAACGGCATATATACGTATACAAGGGTTAAAGGTATTTCAATTTTGTTTATTTATATGGATTTTCTATTTCTAGAATTATATAGCGTTTTTTTTTAATATTACTATATATATTAGTAATAATTGCTTTTATTCACTATAATGCAAAGCATTCGAGAAAAATCCGCCAATGGTCGAACGGGCTATTTTTTTTAAGACCATTTTAGACCCTCTGAAACACATTTCAAAATACATTTTTGGCCCTGCAAACGCTTTAAAATATTTTTTTCTTACGTTAAAACTTTAAAATGTGCCCTCTAATTTCGATGTTGAAAAAATTTGAACTACATCATTTTGATTAATTTCTTGTTATAGAAACTGCTAAATAATAAGACTAGACCATCCTTAAACCAATAAACCATTCCAAATTGTTTCGTTAAACAGTTTATCGGCGTATAATAGCAATGATTCTTTTTAGAAATTATGACAGTCAGATATAGCAAATTAAAAAAAAAATTTTGAAGGTTCTTGCTAAATAATCAATATCACTCTTACGTGAGTGCTATTTGATATAAAGTAATACTGACAGATCTCTTTGATTGTACAAGCTGATAGCTTCATGAATGACTGGTTAAAGAAACATTGGACCTTCCTTGCGTCATGTAAATGCTAGAAAATGCGATATAGTCTAAAATGATGTACACAATCAGTATGGTGCAAATGAAAGGAATAAATTCATTATTTCATAGCTTCTTGAAAAATTCCTAAAATCCGTCGATTTTTATTTTCTATAAGATTTTTTATTTATTCGTGACGTCATCTGTGGAAATGTGGTTCATGCGATACATAATTTGAAAGAACTTTTAATTATCAATAATACGAATAATTTTAAATAACTGAATTAAATACCGAAACTGAATACTACTTTTATATTTTTGTAATTTTTATTACGGAGTGTAATTTTATTTGTTTTTTTTTTGAATAATTTATTTAACTTCGACCTATTTCTAACTACGAGGTTTAAACACTGACACTGGTAAGCATGCTACCCCCCAAATACCAGAAATTTTACCGAATCTTGTGGCTTTTACATTTCCTTCGAAAGATGGCACACCCCCTCATTGATATAAAACGCCTGCCAGCTGTGGTATGTAACTACGCGGTTGGGCTTTATAGGTACGCCAATTCTTTTAAAATGGTCACCCATCTAAGTACTAATTGCGCTCATTCTTGCAGAAGTGAATCTGCTAAGCAGGGTTGCTGCCTATTTTATTTGTTATGTATTTTTTATTTATTTTTATTCACTTTTATCGTTTTATAAAAAAATATTTATGCAGTCTTATCCAAAATAGTTGACATTGTTAATGGAACTCCTCCTCCTACACCATTGATCCCAACCGAGATCCAATTCCGCAATCCACCGTAAGCAACATTGAGAAGAAATTCAGAAACGCAATGAAGGTAGTAGAAAACAAATAGCAGAAAAAAGGAACTTGATGTTCTACTAGCGTTTGAAGAGAATCATAACCAGTTCAGGGCAAGTAACATTATATTATAACATCAACAGTTTTATAACGCTAAAAAAGGAATAGTGGCATCCTTATAAAGTTACTAGAGATTTCAGTGGGTGCTTTATTTATTTTCCGCATCTATTTAAATAATCTTTAGTTTAGAAGCTTCTAGAAGAAAGAAGCTTTGGGCCCACATCATGCTATTTTGGTGAGAAACTACTTGACAGCGTCTTTTCAGATGTGAGGTGAATTGAGCTAAGAGGATCAATCGAATGGCCACCTAGGTCGCCAGATTTAACACCTCTTGATTTTATTTTTTGGAAATTTTTAAAAAGTTTGTTTAGTCTCTGTTTAATCTGTTCAAAGTAATCGGTCTCTTTCACAGGTATAGCCTGTGAAGGACATCTAAAGTGTCTCCTCTAAGAGCAATGGTCAAATTTACTGCATTCTCTCGTTCAGATCATTCATTTGCTCTGGCAGCTGTTTCAAACTGTTTAAGGTAGTTCGCCCATGATATCTTCCCGTCGAAAGTTGGGGCTTTAACACGAGCAGAGTTTACAGCTCCTTCCAATTTCAACTTTGACTCCACCTCATGGCACTTTATTTCGCCGTCATTGGCCTGTTCTGTATGTTCCAGTTCGTCTGTCTTTTTCTCCACCTGTTTTATTTTCTCCTCAACGGAAGTCATCTTATTTTCCACATCAGCAGAAATTTCATTTTTCAGAGAAGACATTTTGTTTTCCAAGTCGGAAGAAATTTCAATTTTTAAAGAAGAGATATCAGAAGAAACTTTAGTTTCTAAAGAAGAGATTTCGTTTTTCACGGAAGACATATCAGGCGACACCTTTTCTTCTAAGGAAGAAATATCAGACGAAACTCTGTTTTCGGAAGAAACTTTACTTTTTAAGGAAGTAATGTCAGAAGAAACTTTAGTTTCCAAGGAAGTAATGTCAGAAGAAACTTTAGTTTCTAAGGAGGATATATCATTTTTTATATAGAAAACATCAGAAGAAATATTAGTTTTCATAGTTGACATTTGACTTTCTAACGAAGAAATGATAAAAATATAAACTTTTCCGGATCCAAACCTTCGCTTTCCATTGCTTCTTTAAGCCGTTCTACCAACTCTGCTTTCTTCCCTGTCATCTTCAGATCACGATCTTCCAATTCTCGACGCAATTTAGCCACTTTTAAATCACACATTTTTTGCCATTTTAGTCCACTATTTATTTACAGTTCCACTTCTAACACCAATGTAGCGTTTGTTTAATTTATTTATAGTTTATTTATTTAAAACACACTATTTACAATTTATTTATCACAATTTATCTTTTCTATCCAACACTTAATATCAATCTGCCGTCCGTCAACAGCTAGCGCTATTTATATAAAGCTAACTCTATACTAAAACTCTCTAGGCTTTCTAGAACAATCGAAAACTGCCTTTTTATGACTCATACGCCACAAAGGGATCAATCCAGTAGTTTCAAGAAACGGTGCGTTTGTCTCTATATTGCTAAACTTCATACCGCGGGCAAGGAGTAAACAAAGCACAGGGTAGGCTTTTGGGTGACATTAACAAAATACTTAGACCACAAAATATCGATAGATTACATACAGATCAAGATGACGCAAATAGCTTCAGATATTGAAATAGTTCGGTAAGAGTTCACTGCTCGTCTATCTCACTATCTATGCTTTTGATTTGGTTATATTTGATAAACAAGAACATTAATTGTAATACTAAAAATGTTTTAGAGTCCAAAAACCTAAATTACCTGAATTTATTAAAGTCATTTGATATATAAGACCTTTCAAATGATTTATTACATGAACCACATTTCTATTTATAAAAATAATGTTTTCCAGTAAACAACGAGTTAAGAAATAATGAATGTATTCATTTCATTTGTCCCATACTGTATAGAACAAACTTTGAAAAATACTTACCTATCTATATTTGCGAAATTCGTCACTTTTGTGCAATACGAGCAGACAATAAAAATTTAAATAATCGTTAATAAAACTAAAATAAATACCAAACTTACTGTGGTGCCCCAATAGACACCACAATAATTTTGTAAAGGAAAAAAGGATCAACTACTACTTCTACGTTTTTCTACAAATTTATTGAAATTCGAAGAAAAGTTAATAGAGAAAAGAAAGAAAGAATTTACCCAGGCCTATGTGAGCTTTCACACCACCAAGATTTCTAACTCGAAACAGACCAGATTTCTTAAAAGCACAGTTGAGGACAAATCCAAAATCTGATTCCAAAACACAGGTCGGTCGGCCTAACTGCCAAGTCCCGCCTGCAAGGAGAAATTATGTTTGTAAGCTTACCAATTTGCTCGCTCCATCCTAAAGATTTTTACTATTTTACAGTGTAATGCAATGACACTTCGTGTACTGTACTTACCCTGCATTAGGGTCTTTAAATAGAAGGAAAGCTAACAACATTTTACTTTAAATGCAGGTCATTAGTCTTAACTAAAAACGTTTCATATGATTTGAGTTTATAATCGTTTATTCTCTAATGAAATAAATTATTAAAAAAATATTTTTAATGTAATTAATTATGGCTTGCATGATTGCACTTGCCTTGGCACCAACTGGAGCCAATTTTTATTAATATTATGACCCATGATATAACTATTTAACAGTACCTAAAATTTTGCTAACTCTCCGTCCTTATATCGGAAATTTAAAACAATTGATTGATAATATATAACTAAAGAAAAAATTATGTATGACACTCCCACACGTTCATGTCATTGCATTGATTATTACAATGGTGTGGCAACACCTTAATAGTTATCATGCTATTAATAGGTGGATTTCCAATTTCCATTACCCTAAAAACTACATTTGCAATATTGAATAAAGAATTAATAGCACAAAATTTCCAAGTACATTCATGAATTAGAATAAAAAAATACTTAAAAAAATTAAATATTGAAAATTAAATGGTCCACCAGTTGCACCAATAATCTTAAGTTGGAATTATAAATCAATAAAAATCAAGTTTTTTTTTTAATTCAGATATATATGCAAATTAGAAATTTGGCCATGGATTTTTGTGCTAGTAACTAAAAATCGAAAATAAAAAATTAAGAACTATAATATAACGGTGCTTAAAAATTATAATTATCAGAAAAAACATAAATACATTATACAATACTAGAAACAGGAAATCAAATTTGCCAGAAGGTATCTTACACGATTGCTTAGGGATTGAGGTTATTTTTTGCATTTTGAAATAATTCGCATTTTAAAAAATAAAAATATTCATGATAATGACTGTCACATTAGATGCAGATATCATCACTGTTTTACCTCATAGACATATTTCTTCGTACCTCTCATACTTGCATCAACCACGACCCCCACCAACACAAATAACAAAATTTCTCATCAGTTAGAGGTGTATAGATAAAAAGGTAGTATTCCCTATGATCGGTAAAATAGTGAGCATATTTGTATAAGTACATTAATAAATTAATTATATAATCAAGAAGTGACTACCGAGAAAACGTTTGACATTTAACATTTATTTGAAATTATATTATCCTAATTACATGAGGTTAATATATGTCGAAATGAATAAGTAGAGTTGATGAAATTAAAAATTATTGTAAAATCAAACGATCAAGAAAATACTGCATTAGAAAATAAAAGTACCAATCTCACTGAATGCTCCAATTCTGCATCTAATTTATGGATTTCACCTAAGAATGTACTTAGCCTTGAAAGCTATCTATCGCTAATATTATACATTTGTTGTATAATGACAAAGCAATAGAACACCATATATATTAACTATATTGATAATTGGTAATTGCTAGAAAATTATGGAAATTAGGGAAACTCAAACCTCGCATCTTTGTTTACGAAAACCGGACCTGCCGCAGAAAGCCAAATAATTACAATTGCCAGCTTTTTCCCTTGACTTATTTTAATCAAATTTAAAAACTTTTGTATTTTTTATTACAGAGGTTCTTGTTAATTAATGTGTTTCGTCGCAGGGGTCGATGATATTAGGGAGAGTTTTTTTTACACTATTTATCTATGAATATTTAACTTTAATGAAAGTTTATTTATTTGCGTGTGGCGTCTATAATATTTCAATCAGGCCAATTATTTGAAGAAGTCTGTGCCTCAGGAAATTCCAACCTACTTAACCTTAAATTTAGAATATTGGAATTGGTTAAAACGAATTATAAGATATATCGCAAATGCTTGGTCTGGACATTTTAACAAAGTTTCGTTTTTTTTAATTTTTTCCATAGGCATTAAACATAGATATAATAATAAGAAATGATAATATACTATAAAGAGTGGAAATATTGAAAATCTTGCCCTCTTGGTATTGGTAGTAAAAAGGAGATATTTTCTTACCAATTCTTCATAGACCAAGTTAAATCGTTCCACTCAGAAATTGCCTCTCAACCAGTGGCGTAGCTACACCCGGTCGACAGAGGAGAAAATTAAAACAAATATATAAAAGGGTAAATCTTGACTTTAAAAATATTTTGTAAGTAAAAGTCGCTTAAAATAATCATACGTGGCAACTGAGTTTTTAAAATATTTGTTAGTTGATAATCCTACAAGCGTATCTAGCTTTTCTAATACAATTAAAGCTCTGATAATGTATTTGACTTTACCTGTAAGCAGGGCCGTATGAACACAATAATGGAAACTTTTTGAAGTTAATTCAGTTATTGGCTGAGTTTGATCCAAAAACGGAGGAACACGTTCGCAGAGTGATCAATAAAGAAGAAATCAAAGCTACATATCTAGGGAAAACTATACAAAATGAAATAATTGAATTATTACATGACAACATAAAGCACCACATCATTGAGCAAGTTCAAAAGGCCAAGTATTATTCCGTGATTCTTGACTGTACTCCCGATGCAAGTAAAGTAGAACAGATGACATTTGTGGTAAGATTTGTCGCCATACAGGAATCAGAGTCTGAAGTTCAAGCTAATATCAACGAACATTTTTTGGGTTTTCTACCCATTGAGAGATCAACAGCTAAGGAATTGTCGGAGGTTGTACTAGAAGAGCTAGAGAAAAATAGACTTAAAGTAGAAAACATGCGCGGTCAAGGGTATGACAATGGTTCCAATATGAGAGGGGAAAAATCGGGAGTACAAACAAGAATCATAAATATAAACCTCAGAGCATTTTATGTTCCATGCAGCAGCCATTCGCTAAATTTGGTTGGCAAAATCCTCGTTTGAGGCAGCCAACTTCTTCAATATTGTTCAAAAGTTATATACATTTTTTTCTTCCTCTTCTTTTCGTTGGGCAATATTACTGAAATATATTGATACTTACACCCTAAAACCATTGAGTGATACGCAATGAGAAAGTCGAGTCGACTCATTAAAAGCTCTGCGGTTTCAAATTGGTCCAATTCACGATGCTTTGTACAGCATATATGAAGATTCAGAAATCGATAATATGATCAGAGACGAGGCTAGCGGATTATTAAATAATTTGAAGCAGTTCAAATTTATATGCTCTGTTGTGATCTGGTACAAAATTTTGAGTCATATTAACCCCATCAGCAAAATTTTGCAAACTGTAAATCTTAATATGTCACAAGCTAATGATATGCTTAGCAACTGCAAACTCTTCTTTGAAAACCTGAGATCAGATGAAGCTTTTGAAAGCATCATTTTAGAAGCAACCGAGCCTTGCTTCAGAGATTGACGTAGAAGCTAATTTCGAAACCACCACACCACGTTATCGTGTCAGAAGCAAAACAAGAACGTTTTTGTATGAGGGCCCGGATGAACCCGTTCAAGGCCTCAAACAAAAATATAAAATAGATTTTTGTGTGTCTTCAAAGAAAAAATGTTTCAATAGTTTCTTCCATTTTATTGGTAGGGTATATTGTTAATTCACTTTGTTTATAAAAAATCGAATACCGAGCCGCCGCGCGTTATAAACAACCACTCAAGGACCACTTGCCGTACTAAAGTAGCAATTACAGAATATTACGCCGCCTAAAGACCAGACAATCCTACTCCAATACGGCACCATCCGGGGCTATATTCAAGTAGGTTTTCTGCACGAATAAAGCATAAAAACCCTAGTCTAGTTGGTCACTGCCTGGGGGACGTATTGAAGTAGCTTTTCTATTTACGCTGCCCGGAGTGCCAAAATGTCTAAGGTCGGCCCTGCCGTAAGCGTCGCAAGTAATGAAAGGTCTTTCTCTAAATAAAAAATAATTAAAAATTATTTAAGAAACAGACTTTCTCAAAACAGGGCTTCTCTAGCAAAATTGACATTTGCCAAGCTATTACTTCTTTTTACTTTTTGTTTATACATTTTTTAATACAGTTTACTTATATACTTAACAGATTTAAGATCATTAGTACAATAAACAATTTATCTAACAAGCATTTAGTACGTATGTGCTAGGATTACCATTCAATCCAACCCTTTGGACAGTTTTTATCTAAAATTCTAAAAAAAATACTAGAGCGGATCCCTACGAAAAAAAAGTTTAATATTTTAATTACTGTGGAAAATTCTTATCTATTGGGTCCTATGCTGAAATTTGTAGTTACGCCACTGTAATCTCAACAAACAAATAGAATGTATTTTTATTAATATAGATTAGGTACATATTAAATTAATAAATTACAACACCTACTAGTTGGATTTAATTAATATATTATGTCAGCACGAGATGCATTATAACCTTGATCAGTTTGTTTAATTATTTCCTATTATTTAGAATTTTTCTTGTTTTTAAATGCAAACCGGTTTTTTTCCATATAAAATGACGGTTTGTTGATTTTAATAGAACTCAATTTAAATTAATTTTTATATTTTAATCCAACGAGATTAATTTGGTTGTATATTTTAATTAACTTATTTTAAAATGAAAAAAATAATACTTTGCCTCCATAGGTAATTTGATAACAATCAAATTAAAGAGAAAAGCTGAACAGAAATCTGACTGATTAATATTTTATACTTCATATTTAACTATTGCACTTTTACTGCTTTCTATGATAATAATTTAAGTACATTAATTTCTATAAAAAACAAAATTGCGAAAATTGATGTCTAATTTAACTTGAATACCTAAAAGTTTCCTAATTGAACTTTTAAACATATGTAAATAAACTGAAATAACCTCAATTTGAACATTTTTTTTAAATAAACTTGTCCTCGATTTAAAATCATTTAATTAATAAATCTTTTTAGCGGTCGGTGTGCAATACTTAATGTTTTACAGGTTTTTTTAAGATTAGATTTTGTCAAGGGCGTAGATGAGTACAAATTC